TTCTTTTCGTTTTCTTTCAATAACTTTTCTAGCAGATAACAGTTTCTTTACCATCAACACACTGTTACCTGCATATATTTTCTAAGTAGGATTATATTTTTTTTAATAATAAATCTTATTTGGTTGGTTGAGCGGCATATCGACATCTTTATGGGTTATTTAACGCCGATGTCTAATTATTTTGAACTCAGTTGTATGCTCTCAACTACAGAAAAAAATGTCTGGTCATTTTCCTATAACATGTATTGATGCTAAATTCTGCTGGCATTTTTTATTGTATAAAATGTATTGTTGGTATTTGTATTACAAAAATACATTGTTATACATTTTCCTTTTTGTTTCATGATCGGGGGTTAATCTACGTCCATAGCAAGGGATACTAACTGGTGTCACGACCCCGGGTCAAGGTGGATTTGGGAACAACATCAATTAAGAGTAGGTTTCCAGCTACCCAGTCTCTCGATTTGAGGCATTACAACCGGAAGAAAGTTTATCATCATACCAAGGACTAATCCTAATTTTTATTGGTAATAGTAATATTGGCCATTTCCTGATAAAGAAATCTCCAGCATTCATTTGTTAAGATTTTCATCATGCCCTAGACATCGGGCTGGGATCAAAGTGTAGTATATGTTCTAATCTCTAATAGTAATGGCAATAGTAAGTTGAAACATTCAGCATTCATTGAGCAAGCAGCCAGTGCTACTCAAGTAAAGATTTTCTTCACTTTCTGTCCATTGGGCTGGAATCAAAGTGTAGTATCTGTTCTACTCATCTCTAATGATAATGGTAATATTAGCCTTTTCCTTATAAGGAAACATTCAGCATTCATTGACCGAGCAGCCAGTGCTACTCAAGTAAGGCTTATCTTCACTTCCTTAACTTTGAGTTGAGATCAAGGTGTAGTATCTGTTCTCCTTATCTCTAATGATAATCCAATGATAATTAAATTTTCATTATCTTGATGATTGTAAAAGTCATTTCTGTCTGAATGAGAAGATGCCATTATTGTCCTTATTTTTTGCGTTGCTGTCATGTTTCGACCGTTGTGCTCACTGGCTTTCTTCGAGAAGTGCAAGTGAAGAAACTATTAGCATAGAACTTACGGTTCTTTCATCTAAAGTGACGAGAGAATTTACAAAACAACTTTCTGTCATATTCCTGTTTTTTCTAATGAGAAAATGTTGCCTGAAGGATATCAACATTTTGAATTTGTCTTCACTTGTAAAAAAAAGAATAATTATACGTTCTGAAGCGGGTCATTCCCTGGCAATTTGACTCTCGATAAAACCAAGTAAGTCAATATTTACAGCAATGCGTAGAGGGGGGCGCTAATTATGATCTTTTCACCAATGATGAATTCGTATTAATTATTTTCTCTCTCGATGATTAAATAGCCGACAGGAATAGGTTTACTGACCAGCCCACACCAACACCTAATACTAATCGGACAAACGATTAGATCTCTTAATTCTCGAGACACGACGTCGCATAATCGCTAAACATAGCTTGAGAGACGAATGTTGTGGCGCGTCAATAAAGAGATTCGTTAGTTTCCGTCTAATAGTCGATAGCGAAAATCTTATTTAAATTCTAAAATTTGCTTTGAAAATTGGAAAATTACTGAAAAATCCATAATATTAGTATATTAGTAGGTCAACTGGTTGGAAAATGTTACTTGACTTCTTTCTTAGGGATCGACGATTACATGGATACTTCTTTAAAAATCGGAAATTTACTGAAAAATCCATAATATTAGTAGGCCAACTGGTTGAAAAATGTTACTTGTCTTCTTTCTTAGGGATCGACGATTACATGAATACTTCCTTTGAAAGTCGGAAATTTACTGATAAATCCATAATAACATAGCACTAGTGGGCCAACTGGTTGAAAAATATTACTTGACTTCGTTCTTAGGGTTCGACGATTACATGGATACTACTTTTCAACCTTTGTAACGTTCAAAATCGTTTACGCTACCTTCTTGGCGGTGAAATACCCCTCCCCCCAAAAAAAAAACTTCTTTCTCCACAGACATAACGCGCGCACCTCGTTCCTCTATCGTTATCTCTGACAGGCTACATTCCTTACTTCTTCCAGTTCAGTACAATACAAGGAAGACCCTCTATACCGTGTCGAATCTTTTGTATACCATTAGTAAGGAGGAAGTTCGGACAGTTTTTTTTTTTTAAATGCTACTGATTTGTCGAATACTCTTTAATATTTACCACTTCAAGTCCTGGGTCATATTCTGTCTCTTCTCCTCATTCTACCCTTTTTACCCTCTCCTGTTATGTCCACGAAATCATCTCATTTCATAAGGCTCTATCTTGAGGGACACTTGGGACTTCTGTTGGAAGATGAACACCTTTAAAAAAATCAATTTTTAAAAAATATTACTTTCACTCGTGCCATATCTTTGACACTTTTTTTATGAAGAGAAACTAACATAGTAACTGTAGAAGTCTCCCTTTTTTGCAAAAATATTACTGTATTTGACGGCGTATAAGGCGCACTTTGTTTTACTAAAAATATCTTTTAAAATTCCCATGCCATATGTAGGTTTAAAATTCGCCATAATCGGCCGGAATTAGCTACCTGGCAACTCCTATTAGCTTAGACTTAAACATGAAGGAGCAATGGCAAACTTGGATGGCATTGCCTGATCACGACTTTACACTTACAGGAAGAATAAAAAGACCCGGTATTGCAAAAGTCTGCGAATGTGTGAAGCAAGCTTAGGATAATATTAGACCAGAAATTGTTGTGAAATCATTTAAAGTGTGGCATTAGAAATGCCCTCAATGGAACGGAAAATGACAGTAGTATTAAAAATGAATATCAGAGTTTTGATAACAAAGACGACGAGTTTTTTTTTTCTTACCTTTAATAATGTTTTTACACGCTTTATTACCTCGCTTGTTGTGAAATGATTTTAAATAATCTAACTGCTGATTAATTAACCACATTAGAGAGTTTCTTTTCTTGCATGCGCGCAACAGTGTCTATTGGGTGGCTTTCGAAGCAACACCGTGCAAACGATTCTTGGGATGTTCAAAATAGTTCTATATTGCCCAGACTATATTTGTCTATATCCCTGAGATGAGATATTATGATTACTTACATTATTTACATTATTCGGACTGTTATCCTCTTCTTCATTGCCATATTCACAACATTTCGGCCGTTGTACGCTCCGGCCTTTATTTCTATATCTCTCTATATATATATCTATATATCTGAGATGAGGTATTATGATTACTTGCATTATTTATATTATTTGGACTGTTATCCTCATCTTCATTGCCATATTCACAACATTTTTGCCTCTATATCTCTGAGATGAGGTATTATGATTAATTACATTATTCATATTATTCTGATGTTATCCTCATCTTCATTGGCATATTCACAACATTTCGGCCATTGTACGCTCCGGCCTTTATGTCTCTCTCTCTCTCTCTCTCTCTCTCTCTCTCTCTCTCTATCTATCTATCTATCTATCTATCTATCTATCTATCTGAGATGAGGTATTATGATTACTTACATTATTTACATTATTCGGACTGTTATCCTCTTCTTCATTGCCATATTCACAACGTTTCAGCCGTTGTACGCTCCGGCCTTTATTTCTATCTCCCTCTCTCTCTATATCTATATATCTGAGATGAGGTATTATGATTAATTACATTATTTATATTATTCTGACTGTTATCCTCATCTTCATTGCCATATTCACAACGTTTCGACCGTTGTACGTTCCGGCCTTCTTCAGGCGATTGAAATTTCGGACCGAACCCTTCATTACGTCCACCTGGGCAGTTTGTTCTAGTTCCACGTGCCATGCCTCTTCCGGATGTCTCAGTTATTTCCCTTTAACTCAATTCTACAAATTTTTTGGTTTACCACTGCTGTAGCCTGGTATTGAACTCACATCTCTTTTTGCGTCTAGTCACCGGATTTAACGAATGTCTTTGATTCACCGAGCCAGATTATATTTGGTTTTATATTTATTATATTTAAACATCATCTGATTCATCTGAGCTTATTTTAGAAAGATATATATATATATATATATATATATATATATATAACTAGACTCGTTTCGAAGACTTTCCCTGACGATCCGTTTAGGTGAAACCTAGGTAGGTTTGTCTGGCTCACGAGGTGTATCTATCTATCTATCTATCTATCTATCTATCTATCTATCTATCTATCTATATATATATATATATATATATATATATATATACAAAATAGCATTTTAAACTAAATTCGGATAAACAAAAGTGAGATAATCTATTCCAGATCACGATTCCCTAAAATGTAATATAATTTTAAATGAGAGTCATGTATTTCCCAAGGAGTTCAGCTAGAGAATATTTGCGAAGTGTTCCCGAAAATATAAAATTATCATATTTTTCTAAAGACATTTTTCTTGCGCCGACCACCCCCACAAAAAAAAAAAAAATAAATCGTTAATATCTCAAATAAATAATTCATTATAACCATGAAAGAAATATGGCCTAATTTATCGGGGTTTTCCTAGCATAGTATAAGGTATAGAAAACACTTTTTCAAAACCATTATTACAGTTCTCTATACTGACAGCCTGATTCCATACAGCAACATGTCAAAGAACATTGGTTCAGAATTCCCTCTTGCAGACTATTCCTGATGAGTCAAATTACTATTTGGAACTCAGCCACTGGTATTTACAGATTTTTTTAAAACTTAGCACTTGGCTAAAAGTGTTGGTTAGGTTGATGGATTTGAAGACATATCCACTCATATTGGGTTCTTTAGTGTCAAAAATATACTCGAATCTTGGGGTAAACTTTGTTTATTCTTGGGTCTTACAGGCAAAATTTAGTCGTGTTTCATCTTGAGTATAGAGTTAAATCCATTAAGACGTAAGGCGTTACTGAATGTGAAAGAATAAGATAAAAAGAAAACATTATAAAGGAAAGAGAAGAATAAAAGAAGAGAGAATATAATGATTAACAGATGGAAACAGCCTGGGATACGTAGAAAAAGAGAGAGAGAGATGACGAAACTGTGATAGCTAGATAGATATGAACAGAATGAGATAGATAGATAGATAGATAGATAGATAGATAGATGAATATCAATGGATAGATAGATATCATGGATAGATAGATAGATAGATAGATAGATAGATAGATATCAATAGATGAGATAGATAGATAGATAGATAGATAGATAGATAGATAGATAGATAGATAGATAGATAGATAGATAGATATAAACAGAATGAGATAGATAGATAGATATGCATGGATAGATAAATAGATAGAAAGTAAGATATCAACAGACTGTGATAGATAGATAGATAGATATCAACGGAGTGAAATAGATAGATAGATAGATAGATAGATAGATAGATAGATAGCAACGGAGTGAGATAGATAGATAGATAGATAGATAGATAGATAGATAGATAGATAGATAGATAGATAGATATCAACGGAGTGAGATAGATAGATAGATAGATAGATAGATAGATAGATAGATAGATAGATAGATAGATAGATATCAACGGAGTGAGATAGATAGATAGATATAAACAGAATGAGGTTTACAGATATGAATGGATAGATAAATAGATAGAAAGTAAGATATGAACAGACCGTGATAGATAGATAGATATCAACGGAGTGAAATAGATAGATAGATAGATAGATAGATAGATAGATAGATAGATAGATAGATAGATAGATATGAACGGATTGTGATAGATATATAGATAGATAGATAGATAGATAGATAGATAGATATAAACAGAATGAGATAGATATGAATGGATAGATAAATAGATAGAAAGTAAGATATGAACAGACTGTGATAGATAGATAAGATAGATAGATAGATAGATAGATAGATAGATTTGTTTTGGTTTGGTTTGTTTTACGGCATATCAACCACAATGGGTTATTTAATGCCGCCAAAATTTCCATTTTTTTTTCAGAAATGTATCGTTTGGTTTGTTTTGTTTTATGGCATATTAACTTCAACGGGTTATTTAATGCTGACAAGATTTTTAGTTCTGATAATATTTTCTTTTTTCAAAAAATTATTGCTGATAATATTATTTTTAAAGTATTTCTGGTATTAAATTCTATTTTTACACTTTCTCTCGTGTTTTGAGTCAGATTGTGGAGTCAACTATTTTTCCTATAGTTGGGATACTAGCAGGTGCTACTTTTCCCTTGGACAACATTGATGGCATGGAGAGGGGAAATGTGCTGAATTGGCAACTTCCGATCTCTCATAACACCCTTCCCAGGGCCGCGCCCTGGAGAGGACACTCCAACGTCGCCCCACCGCGATAGCAAAACACGCCAAGCAGCTACACGGGAGAGAGCGTCTTCAAATTGCATTCGTTGACATCAAGACTATCACTTCCATGTGGGCCTGTACAGCCATAACATACGTTGCGTCGCCATCAGCAACTGAGGCATAACTCTATGGCGACAGACGGATGCTGCATGCTTGAGTCTATAGGTAAACATTGATAGATTATACGATGGGCAATTTATATGTTCTAAAACTGCCTACACCTATTCCCACTCGTTTTATTTTGGGCCGGTTCAGAATGTTTAAACTCTCCACTGTATATGACTGCTTACTCAGATGAATGATTAAAATTGCTACGATCGAATGAAGCTTGTAGGACCATCTTTCTTCGAAGGTTATAAACTGTCGCTAAGGATTCATAAACAAAAATCTGTACAAAAAAAACAAAAAATCATTTTACCACTTGTAAACTTTCAACAGAGCTAACAAATAAAATAGATTCCATATACAATGCAAACAGAAAATCCTTACATTATGAAGAGGTTATCGACGGAATATTTTTTTTTCATTCGTCGACAGCTGGAAGAGGACACGCAATATTAAAATATCCGAGATAACATTGTCATTAATAGGGATTTCGTTTTTTCTTTCAATTACCCTCTGCGCAACACGCCTATCAAAGGTCATATATGTTTATATGACGCATTTAACCAGAATTTTCTGTCATAGACGATTCGATTTCATACGGTGTTATTATTAGACGTACAGACAATTAATCGAACTAGTTTCAGCAAAAATCGATATTTGACTCGATTGTTGTTTAAATACTCTAATCCATTTTTATCCTTTCTTTTTTAGGTACTAATCTATGGAAGCAGCTTATTGCAAGGCAGGTATTACGATTATGATGGGAACGTTCGAAACGTGAAGTGAAGGTAAGTCAATATTTCATATTGTGTTCCACCGTAATGTAAAAAAGAAAAAGAAGAAAGATTTGTTCAAAATGCGGCGGAAGAACTCATGTAAAAGTCGACTTTTATAATCATTCATTGTTTAAAGTCAGATGTGAAGGAATCTGGGATATTTAACAAAAAATAATATTTATGGAAGATTCTAGTTGATTATAGAATTATAAACGAGCCCACTTCTGCAAAACTATTACTTGATGTATTTCATAGGGGTTGACGATTATGTAAATGCTATATATCATGTGGTTATATGACGACATCCATAGAAGGTCAAGTTGTTAAAAAATTACATGTCGTATTGGGGTCAACAGTTATATGGATACAACCTTTTAGAGTCTGAAATTTATGCATGAATCCAAATTATCATAGCATAATTAGGTCAACTGGTTGAAAAATATTACTTGACTTCTTTCTTAGGGATCGACGATTACATGGATACTACTTTTGAGAGACTGAAATTTATGCATGAATCCAAATTATCATAGCATTAGTAGACCAACTAGTTGAAAAATATTACTTGACTTGCTAAGCGTTTGTATACAGTTGACAGTCTAGATATTTCTGAACGGATTTGTCCCAAATGACGACATCTATATGAAAACCTCGAACTGAAAAGGCTATTTAAGAATATGACTCGATTTTTCAGTTGATGTTTTGGTTTTGTACCAACTTGCGGCGTTGAGCGAAACTATCTCTAGATTAACGCGTTCTATGTTCAATTTTCTTTTCACCTATTCTTAATTGGTTATAAAGGATTTATACGCCGAGTTAGCTGAGGTTTTTAGTATCTACTGATATCACATCTGGCATTTTTATAATGAATACAGGGAAGGTGGTATTAATTTTCTGATTCCAATTAAAGATCATAGTTTCTCTTTTGGAAAGTTTCTCGTATTCTACGACGGAAAAGGTGACGAAAAAGACAATTGTTTTTCGAGAAAATGGGAACGTATTCTGCATGATACGCCGTAGACAGAATATCAAATATAGTTACAGGTGGCCCTAAAAATATCTTGGATATTTTAATATTGCGTGTCCTCTTCCAGTTGTCGACGAATGAAAAAAAAATATTCCGATAAAAGCAGTTGGTCTTATTGAATTTTGGAGAAAAAAAATCGTTTATTTTGCTACCGCGTTCGTCGGCGAGTGTGTTATTTTTCTGACTGTTTACATACATTAGGATTTGTGACATCGGACCTTCGAATCGAAATTCCGACATTTCTTTCTGTCCCTGATATTCGAGTTTGGATTTACGATTTCTTTTCTTCGTTTTATGGAAGCAAACTGTAAACAGAAATCTTTTGTTCAAGTACGACGAAGCTGACTACAAGTTTACAGTCATGAACAACAATGTCGGCGACCAGCTGTCTTTTTGATTGGTAAGCAATATTGTCTATTACAATATCTAGTGATTTGCGTATTGCAATTCCAGCTTCATATTGTTTTTTTCTACTTGTGGCCAGTCGAAAATAAATTGTATCTCAATTGCACAACGGAACCATACGCGCCTCTTGCATGCAGACGATGTCAAGATTGGCTTTCTTGCATTCTTCTAAAAGAAAGTGCATCCTGAAATCATCTGAACGTAGCCATTTTTTTAATTGGTGTAGATAAGCTTACAAGACCATTCCTTAACAGTCGTAGATCATTTCAACCTCGGCATTGTTTGCCATGGAGGGGTGCGTCTCTTGTTAACTATCACCAAAGACGATGTGGCATTTCGTTATATTTCTTGCATTCTCATGAAGTCGAACCGTCGGTTTTATAGTAGAGTTTCCTTCTTCTAGACTGATGACATTAAGATGGTTATTGAACCCTATTTATCCGCTTGGTCTCATGTCAGAATTTACCTTATACTAGATATGTTTTTACTACGGCTTCTGCTGTTCAAGTCACTCATGTATAATGATATACAGTATATGATGGATACATTGTCGTGTAAATTAGACAAAAATGAGGCCCTTATCAACGGATTCTGGAGTTTTTTTTTTATCAGAACAATCAGAGTGAGTATTTCGAGCTGCCGTACCTTCGTAATCACCATTAGACTCATCCAACTCTTTCCGCATCCTCTGCATTGTCCTCAGATTGACACCCAATGACTGGTTTCTACTGCTTGTGTGGCATAGTTCGGTTGTAGATTCCGAGATGAAATCCGGTACCAATAAATAACAAACGCCAAGAAGGAGTATAGGAAAATAAATGTATTAATGTAATAATACAAACTGGTAATGAAGGTTAGTAGTTCCAGGAATGCGGGTTAGTAGCAAAAAATATATATAGTCTTTAGTATCGACATATCACTGTATGACTTACTGAGTCTACGTGCTTGCTCACTGTGACTCTTGCTCGTTCGCCCTCCTTTCTCGTTCTTCTTCAGGTATTCACCAGCAATAGTATATGAGTCCTGCGTGAGTCCATTTCTGTAAAAAGGGGAGAATCCCTCAATAGGTTCAGAGTCCTGTTCCAGCAGCCACTCCCTTGAACCAGGGTAGTAATACCCACTAAACGCTGAGGCCCTCACCAACAAATTCGGGAGTTCTTTTCGTATCAGAACGAGTGAGTTTTCTGAATATTGTCCTCATATTGGCAAACAAACACTCGTATTGTAGATTCCGGCGCGAATGCCAAGCAGTACAGCATGCCTTTTCCAAATTTCTGGCGCAGTGTATTGTGTCATTGTGCTCTTTTTCTCACAGACAGTGTCCAACTGAGCCGGCTATACTGTGCAGTTGACAAAATCAAAAACAGACAACGCGCAAAATATAAAATGGGGACAATTTATCCATCGTATGCATTTTCTGGGGGTTGTTAGTGGAGTGACATTCTGTTGCAGACTTCACGGTGGTTGTGAGATTTAGATTAAAGTTAAAAAGGGCACTCCTTGCCTTTTTCGGTACCGGGGCTGGCTTTTGCATTCTAAACTATCCTAGATGTCAGGATACGATTTTTTTTTATTAAAATTTGCAGAAGAAATAAAAAATGGAAAATTTACACATTAAAACAACAAAAATCCATGTAGAAAATATATTACGTAAGCTAGTGTTCAGATAAACAAATGAAAATCAAATGTACCAGATACCTTTGGAAACATCTAGTTTCAGTTGATAAAGTAAGAATTGTATGAGATGATAATTCCAGGAAAAAAATGTTCCACCATTCTTTTGGATATTTCCAGCATTCAACTGGCCAAATTTCACTCGTTCTGTTCTTAACCCCTTCAATTGCTCTTTTGATACCAGGGTGGGTTGGATTCGAAAACTCTCCTAAGAGTCACGGAACGATTTTACAAAAATGGTAAAGGAGAGTAAAAGAGAAGAATGCAAAATCTATTGCAAGAAGATAGTAGGTAGGGTTGTCCACAAAGGGAAGAGAGCAAGATGTTAACTACAAAATGGAAACATTAGAATCAAGGAAGACCAGAAATGTAAATATCTAAGAATTTTTTTGAAAAGGGTCGGTGAATACAACATCGAAATTCGAAGGCGCATGGCGATTGCGAAAGGTGACGTTCAAAAGTTAAGCAAAATATTAAGAAACAGGAAAATTTCGTTAGAAACAAAGAAAATAATAATGGACTGTTACGTAATATCAGTCTTCCTATATGGCAGTGAATGATGGACAATCTCCTCACAGATGAAGAAGAGATTTGAAACAAGAGAAACAAAGAAAAGAGTACTGAACTGTTACGT